ACTTTGAAAGATCCTGCTTGTTACATTAACGACGAAAAAACAGCTGGAGAAATACTCAGATGCTGAATAAAATGTTTTAAAGCTGTGTGATCTGTGGAAGTACATTTCAGTGTGTACTTCACAGACTCGTGGTGTTCTCAGTGTTAACTACAGAGGGCCAAAATCGCTGGGTATTTTTACAGCTGTATTTTTAACAGTTATGGTAATGAAGTTCATAGGGTAGGTGAGTAATAGCATGCTTGGGCTTTAATTTATATAAAATGCATTATAATATTTACATTTTACAGTATATAACAATATATATCCCATTTATGTGACATGTATGAACAATTTTATTAAGTGCATAAATGATAAATATGTATAATATTTTAGAATCTTCATGTGTGTATATATACATATATATACACACATATAAATAGGTCACATGAACCAAAACTTAACTGTTACATTGAACCAAAATGTTAGTTACTTGTAAACAAAATTGAGAGCCTTTAACTGTTTTTAATTGAAGTTAATGCTGAGTGTATAAACAAATACTGGGGTTAAATGAACTTTTGCAGGGGTAGAAACTTTGAAACTAATCTCTGTGTACATTTTTTTATGCAGATACATGGGACTGCATAGCAACTTGCTTTTTCATAGATACAGCACATAATGTCATTGATTACATTGATACTATATGGAAAATACTGAAGCCTGGCGGAATATGGATAAATGTAGGCAAGTGTGACCAACCTTTCTTCCTGCTAGCCCTGACTTATGTTTGATCATGTAACAGGCATTTAGTACTTGAAAAGAGCTGTGGGGAAGAATGTATTTGTGCAGAAAACTCTAGAGCTAGAAACATCTAGGGCTTGGAAGCTAACTTGGGTGTGTTCGGAGGATGTCCAGGTGTCTGCTAGTTACAATCAAGTCAATGCCATGTGATTTTTGAATAGGGAAGTAAATCTTTTTAGTGGCAGGTTTTACATTCATGCATCACACATTTGTTATTTGACAGATGTAGTCTCCTGTGTTCTTTTCTTTGCTGTTTTTCTAAGAAACTTTTTCCGTGTGTAAATACATCCTTGCATTTTTTCATAATCTGTTGTCTAATTTGCACTGTGCTTCTAATCCCTAAACTTTGGGGATGAGATCTGTATGTTCATTGGCTCAAAAGATGAAAGACTTAATTTAAGTCTTCCATGGTAAAGGAACAGCAGAAAAAAAACTCTACAGAGTTAAAACATACTGTGTAGTAGAAACTGGTCAGTCACTACACCAGTCCTGGTCAGTGACAGAGTGGAAGCAGAGCTCCTGAGTAGGCTCCTGCCTTCCATTCTCAAAGGGCAGCAGTGCTACTAGACTGAAGAAATTTTAAGATGCAGAAAAAACAATCTGGTAGGAAATGCAACTTTGTTGAATAAGCCCCTGAACTATTTTTTTTTATTTTGCATTGATCCTGAAATTCGTTATAAAAAATACGTGTGATAGAAATACGTTCATTTGCCTGTATTTGAATATGTGAGTCTGAATATAAATGTTCTTTGCACTTTCAGTGTGTACTTTTGAATTTTTTAAAAACATTTTTGCCTTTTTTTAATAGCCGTTTCCCTTGTATCTTTGTACTCCAGGTCCTCTCCTTTACCACTTTGAAAACTTGGGAAATGAACTTTCTATAGAATTAAGTTATGAGGATATAAGAACTGTTATACTAAAATATGGATTCCACATAGAGGTAAGAAGATGTTGTAGTTTGCAATGAGCAGTATAGGTACAAACCAAACTGCTTTGAAAAAACATTTACCTTAAATTTAACTCTACATAATGACATATACTAATGACTTCTAGGAGAATTAAATGCTTGTGTGTTGCAAATTATTTGCTTTCCTCATTTTTAAAAGTATATAATAGGCCTTGAAATCTAGTAAGTACATAGCACTTACCTTCTTAAGGGAAACTTGGATATTTCTTGTAGAGAGTGTGTTTTGAAAACTGCTTCTTTTTTATCAGGTGGAGGAAGAATCTGTAATGTCAACTTACACTGTGAATGAACTCTCCATGATGAAATACTACTACGAATGTGTGTTGTTTGTGGTGAGAAAACCAGAATAGAAGTGGTCTGAATAGTTTAATAGGAAAAAAAAAAGTTGTCTTGAAAGCTAGAAGCGAGAATCAAATGGACTAGGTGATGTCTGGACACAACCTCAAATCAAGTGGTGCCTTCTTATTCCTAATAGGTTTTAGATAGTGTCTATTTTCTTAGTATCTCTATTGCTATCCAGACATGTACTATGCCATGCATATTTGTAATATACTTGTGAAAATGGAGGAGGAAGTGTTCACATTACACTGTCTCTGCTTTGGACCGCATTCAAAATAAAAGCAAAGTTTTATTCAGAATAAAATTTAATGTTTGCCGTAAATAGGCTTTGCAAATGCTTTGTTTTCTGTAGATTGATGATTTTATTTTTTCTACTTCCTGATATTAGGAATACTTAGAGACGCTTACTGTACTAGTTGTGGCATAGGGAAGTTATTTCTAAGCATGTACTTAAATTATGAAGTCTGAAATGATTGGAAAGTGATAAAGTTATTCATAATGGATAAAATAGCCATCAGACCTATTAGACCAGAATGAAGTAGATTATTATACAAATTCCAATATTTGACTGTACTACTGTTAACAATATAATCAAAACAACCCACAGACTGAAACTTTTGAAATGCTCTGTGAAAGCAGAGTACTGTGTGATGAAAAAGTAGCATGTCACAGAGAAGTAGTATGTTAACCTCAGTTCAGGAGTAACACCAAGTTTGATCAATCTGCTAGTGTTGAAACTGAAATATGTTAGATGCGTTGCAATCTTAAAATACATTGATTTTGAGTCACCTAGTGAATACTTAAGCCAGAACAGTGGAGCAGTATTTCTTATTCTTGTTAACATAATTAACTGTCATGTAATGCCTTGAGCTCTTTTTTTAAAGTTGATAATATAGCAGATTTATCCATGCTGTATGCAGGTAGTGCAACAGAAAAATCCCTCAAGCCAGTGGGGTGGGGGAAGTTACATGTATGTTTTATGTGCTGTGACCTATCCACTTCTACCCAAATCAGCATATGCAGCCCAACTGGTAGATAGCTTTCTTGTACCTTCAGGCTCTTTACCCTTGTGACTTAATGATTTCTTGTTGCTAATGTTTTTTTTTTCCCTGGCAGATGTGGCATAGGTGAATATTTAATCTACACATCATGATACCATACAGGAGGCTGAATCTTCTGTCACTTAAAAGTGATGTACATGAGAAAATGTTAATTAATAATCACTGTGCTGACAAGAGGTACCATGTTAGCCATTGAATTTTCTTAACATATTGGTTACCACAAGTACCATTTTTAACCATTTGAAAAATTTCTTAAAAATAAAAATATTATGGTAAGGAATCAAGGGCTTTTTGTATTTTGTCATAATGGCAGTGGACAACAGCTTGCTTGTCCTCTATTTTTTCTGGTTTGGTTTATTTGTTGTGGGTTTGTTTTTTTTTTCATGGAGATGTCCTAAATGCATCTCTTCAATAAATCTGTTACTGGCTTTTGGATTTTTCCCATCATGGCAAAAAATTTGTGCCTTTATTCCTAAATTGAAAGTCTGCAAGGAGGAAAAGCGCAAACTTTATTTTTTTTTTTATAGTTTCAATGCTGCATAAGAGAGCAACATGCCTGGATATACTTCAGGACCATGCCACTTTCTGCTCAGAATTACTACTGCGAATAAAGGCTTCTGGTCTGCTGCAGTCTTCAATTACAGCTTTGCTTTAACTAGTCTTATTTGAACTCTTTCTTCTTAAAAGCCCCCAAAATGAGCAGTTGGAGATCCGCAGTGGTCCAGGGCAAATGTGTTTAAAGCTGAAACATTGCCATTGCCATAAAGTAGGTGAAATATAAAAGCCCTTGGACACCTGATAGAAAGTTGCTTTAATTTCCTGTATTGTTGAGAGACTTTGTGCTTCTTTGCTTTCTTTCTGATTTTTATTTTTTCCCTTAGATGGAGTATGATTAGTTTGCCTGTTTTTCAAGCTCCGTGAATTAAGATGTTAGGTGAACGTTGATAATGCTGTTGCTGAGTAGTATATGTATCTGTAATATTGCCCAGTTTCTGCCTCCTGCCCAGTCTGTAGTTACACTTAAAATGCTGTATTCCTGTTCTGCACAAGCGGGCAATGAGCTCTTGCTTTCAGTAGACTGTGGCTATCTTTTGTTCTCGTGGTTTTGTTCTTTGCCACCCTACATTGTCACAAGTGCCATTTTATGTGTTGCTTCTGGAAAATGTTTTTGTTTCCTTATGTCAGGTTTACAGTGATGTGCTTTTATTTATCATCTAGAAAATGACAGTTTTCCCCAATGTCCTTTTGAATTTTAACGGTTGCATAGGAATTGGAAGCAGAATAATGATGTTTATAAACTGTATGAGTTGGCTGTGTTTTATACTTGAGCTCCTGTTGACTTGTATTTTATTCATGGGGATAATTGTGTATTACTGAATGTGATCACATTCTTCTATTCAATTGTATACATGGGGATAGGGGGGAATACTTGAGGCATCCGTCAGCGGAGCCAAGATCATTTAATTTAGGTTACTGTTAAACTGTATGTGGTATCTGGTGTAAAATAAAACGCTGCATAATCTTCACTGTACTAACACTCCTCATACGGAGCTGCAACGGGTCCTGTATTTGTCTTTGAGTTCAGTGCGCTCTGGGGTGGGTGACGACGCTAAGGAAGGGGAGGTTTCACGCTCTGGGTGCGCTTCCCGCTGTTCTCAGTGTGGGAACGGCGTTTTGGACACTAAGCTTTGCCGTAGACTTGATCTGTCTCGTGCTCGCTGCGCTCCGTTGCCTCCGGGCGCTGCTTCCCGATCCCGCTCAGCGGTAACGGCGCGGCTGTGCCCCGCCCCTCACCGCGTAGCGTCCTGCCCGCATGGGGAGGGGGAAGGAGGAGGTGGGCAAGGCCCGCAGTGCGCATGCGCGCTGCCCGGCGGGGTGGCCGGGCGTGCGGTGCCGGGTGTCGCGCACCTCCCGGAGCCGGCGGCTCCATGGCCAAGCGGCGCGCGGAGCCGTTAGTGTGTCACGTGCCCGTCAAACGGCTCCTGCGCGAGTCGCCGCTGTCCCGCGCTCCGGTGCCCGAGCGGCGCCCCAGGGCCGAAGGGGCCGGCGCCGGCCCTGGCCCTGCCGCCCCGAAGCGGAAGCTGGAGGAGGCTGAGGCGCCGCCGGGCAAGCGGCCCGGGCTGCGCGGTTGCAGCCCTCGCGGCGAGCAGGGGGACGTGGGGGGCAGGCGGCGGCGGCGCGGCACGGCCGTGGCGCCCCAGGACCTGCGGACGGAGGAGGGATGCGCATGTGGCCAGAGCAAAGAGCGCGCCGCCATCGCTGAGGTAACGGAGTGGGGGTGATAAGGCGGGAGGCCTCTCGTAGAGCGTGCCGCGGGGCTGCCGCTGTTGGCGGGCCCCGGCTGCTCGCCTCCGGGGAGAGAAAACACTGGCTGGGCGATGTTGGTGGCAGCCGAGGCGTTACCATGGGGCTTCGGCAGCAGCCCGTTGCGCCGGCGTGGGGGGGCTAACGAGAAAGGCCGCAGGACGTGAGGGAGGAATGCCCCTCACCCACGCCCCGCAGTCCGCCCTGAGCCCCCTGGTGTTAACTGTTAATCGGCCTCTTAAAAGTTTTAGTTTTCATTTCCACTTAAGCAAAAGAAATAGCATTTCTACCTCCTCCCTGCCCTTTCTTCCTCCCGAAAAACTGATGGGAAACAGCTTGTAAGGAGTTAACGTTAATTAGGTTTCCCTTCACCCACATCCCCATCTAAAAGTATGTTGGGGAGCTTGAAGAGTTCATTTTGATAGTGCCTGTGCTGTTTTAAGTTTGCGGCACAGGTTTGCTACACTATCTAACAACTTTTTAACTTACTGTTTGGGATAACTGTTCAGTAGCAATACCAGAGCTATCTTTTACCTGAAAGGTCTGGTGAAGGCAGTGGTCAGAGGACGGGGATTAGGTATTTAGTGATCAGGATGTACTGGAGTGCACAGTGAGTTTCTGAAGTTTCTGATTTACTTTTTAACAACATACATTCTTCTCTCTGATCTTGGCCACAGTTTACACATTAGGCCAGAAAACAAAATACTGTACTAAGAAAATTCTAGTTTTGCAAGAAATAAAATACTAGGTCAGCTTTTACAATTATCTAGAATTTTGATGTATATAAACTCACCTTTCCTCCCGCCTGGACCTTTTAAGTAAGACCAAAGTATTTGATCCAGGAATACAGAAGCGGCAGAAAGTCTATAGTCAGGTCATATGGGCTCTGAACTCCAGTTTTAGATTCTGGTTTTGAGAAGTCAGGGAATTTGACTGGGTAACACCCAGCTATGATCTGTTTAAAAAAAAATGGTGGCTTTGGTGGCTTTTCTTTATAGAATCATAGAATAGTCAGGGCTGGAAAGGACCTTAAGATCATCTAGTTCCAACCCCTCTGTCATGGGCAGGGACACCTCACACTAAACCATTTCACCCAAGGCTTCGTCCAACCTGGCCATGAATGCTGACAGGGATGGAGCATTCACAACTTCCCTGGGCAACCCATTCCACCCTCACAGTAAAGAATTTCCTCCTTATATCCAGTCTAAACTTCCCCTGTTTAAGTTTGAACCCGTTAGCCCTTGTCCTGTCACTACAGTCCCTAATGAAGAGTCCCTCCCCAGCATCCTTATAGGCCCCCTTCAGATACTGGAAGGCTGCTATGAGGTCTCCATGCAGCCTTCTCTTCGCCAGGCTGAACAGCCCCAACTTCCTCAGCCTGTCTTCATACAGGAGATGCTCCAGTCCAGTCCCCTGATCATCGTTGTGGCCCTCCTCTGGACTTGTTCCAACAGTTCCATGTCCTTTTTATGTTAAGGACACCAGAACTGCACACAGTGATCCAAGTGAGGTCTCATGAGAGCAGAGTAGAGGGGCAGAATCACCTCCTTCCACCTGCTGGTCACGCTCCTTTTGATGCAGCCCAGGATACAGTTGGCTTTCTGGGCTGCAAGCGCACATTGAAGCTGGCTCATGTTCATCTTCTCATCGACCAACACCTCCAAGTCCTTCATTGCAGGGCTGCTCTGAATCTCTTCTCTGCTGAACCTGTAGCTGTGTCTGGCATTGCTCCGACCCAGGTGCGGGACCTTGCACTTGTCATGGTTAAAACTTTATGAGGTTGGCATCAACCCACCTCAAAGGCGTGTCAAGGTCCCTGTGGATGGCATTCCTTCCCTCCAGGGTGTCAACCAAACCACACAGCTTGGTGTCATCGGCAAACTTGCTGAGGGTGCACTCAATCCCACTGTCCCATGTCAGCGACGAAGATGTTAAACAAGACCGGTCCCAACACCAATCCCTGAGGGACACCACTCGTTACTGGTCTCCAGCCGGACATTAAGCCGTTGACCACAACTCTTTGCATGCGGCCATCCAGCCAGTTCTTTATCCACTGAATGGTCCACCCATCAAATTGATGTCTCTCCAATTTAGAGACAAGGATGTCATGTGGGACAGTGTCGAAGGCTTTGCCCAAGTCCAGGTAGATGACATCAACTGCTCTACCCCTGTCCATCCGTTCTGTAGCCTCATCATAGAAGGCCACCACATTGGTCAGGGAGTATTTCCCCTTAGTGAAGCCGTGCTGGCTGTCACCAACACCTTGTTGTTTTTCATGTGCCTTAGCGTGCCATCCAGGAGAATCTGCTCCAAGATTTTGCCAGGCACAGAGGTGAGACTGACTGGTCTGTAATTCCCTGGGTCATCCGTTTTCCCCTTCTTGAAAATGGGGGTTATATTTGCCTTTTTCCAGTCATCGAGAACTTCACGTGACTGCCATGATTTTTCTTAGGCTTTCCCTCATGGTGTTTTCTTGGTTGGCTGGTTGGGTTTGTTTGTTTGGGTTTTGGGTTATTTTTTTTTTTGTGATGGATGGCAATATTGAAGCACAAAGGAATTGAAGGGCGAATTCTATGGCCTATGAAATTATACATCCTTTTTAAGCTGTACCTTTTAAGCACAAACATATCTTTCATTTTTGAAGAGAGAACAAGCAAAGGAAATTAAACAAAAGTTGTGCAAGCCTCTACAGAAAGTTTTACTTCATCACAGATATGATGCTGAATTCTTTGCTTTTCCCTAGGGTTACCAGGCATAATTTCGTAAGCTTTAGCAGTGGTAAGAAGGCAATAAGTCCATTGGATTTCCACACAACAAAGAATATTCTCTATAAAATATTTTTGTAGGACTGTGTGTTTTAACAGGTTGGTTCTATGAGTACAGTATTCTGTTCTGTAAGTACAGTTTTGGCCTTAAAAATAAAGCTTGCTTAACGTCACACAAGAGTTTTGCCCATTTTCTGTGTGTCCTACCTTTGCATGTTTTCAATTTTTAACAAAGATATTTCAGATGGTGATTTTTACACCTTTCTGAAAACACAGCTGTAGGTGGGGATGATTCTTTGCTGTTTTGTAGATTATGTAGGTTCACTACAGTAACAAGCATGATCAGCACGCTGTTAATTTCACAGTTTTTGTTAAAGTTACAAGCAATGCCAATTATACTACAGTTGTCCTGAGAATAAATATTGAGTTTTACTTGCAAGCACACCTTTGCAACTAGAGTTGCAAAATTAACTCTAAAAATTAAACAATTTCATCCACAGATACTGAGCTTTTGTATCTCTTGAGTGTGTGTGTTACCTGCTACTGTGGGCAGTAACTTACCAAAATATAAGGGAGTTTGGATTAAACATGGGGAGAATCTGTAAGAGTAGCTGACAGTTTCTAAAACTCCATTGCTACATACTTTTTTCCAACGAACTTGTTAGCCACCTGCCTTAGTGTGGGTGACATAGCCTAGGTTGGAATACAGACTGGAAAATCTTCCCTTTCACTTTGTTGTTTGTTAATGCTGTGCAGTACAAAAATTACAAGTATTTTCATGCAAACGTGTACAACTACTTATAGTTTGGCTTTCTTCCAGTTTCCATGTAATCAATCCTTCTGTTCCTGTGGCACTAAATCACTTAATTGGTTTTGGTCTCAATTCCCATTAATGGCAACTTTGGTTGTTTAATTATCCCTGAAGACAATCTTTTCCTAGTGAGCAAATTCACATTAGTAGTACTCTATAGGCACACAGTTCTCTTGCTGCTATGAAGTGTCTACATCTTTCATGCCTCTCTTAATTATTACAAACCTTGAATATCACAGGGGTTTTGTTGTAAAAAAAAAAGGTTACCTAGTACAGGAAATTGTAGTTCACAAGAGATTTTTACAGTAACCAGTAGAAACATATTCTTTAAATGGAAAGTATGGTGAATTTACATACTTCCTTCTCGGGGAGTGGGGGGAAGCATTATTTTGCAGTATCTAAGAGGGTTTAGGGGCAATACTGCCGGTTTTGAACACTAGATTTTTTTTATTCTGTTGTAGAGCCAGCAAAGCGTGACATTTTTCAGCAACCATACCAAAGAAGTTACACCATTATTTGTTAAAAAATACTTTTTTAAGCACCTGTTGAGAGGTGCAACATTAAAATATTTAAAAAATGCAGTTGTATGTTAGGAAAAATGCAAAGCAGTATTATACAGAAGTGCATTATTCTAGGTGTGTGGCAGCACTCGGTGTTTTCATGTACCAGAAGAACCTATGCGCTCAAGACCTAAGGAATGACTTAAGAATCCTATTGTGTCCATAGAAACATGCACATAGGGGCCAGTGCTTATAACCACAACATGTGTTTATAAACATACAGTGTGTTTTCTAACAGAGACAAATAATAAAAAAAAAGTGCCATATTAAAGTAGTAGATAAGTACATATCCCTCCACAGTTTTTCTGATACTACTTAATAGTTCTTAAACTTTATCCTCCCTGCCCCTAGAAGAGGTGTTCATTTTTTTTTCACGTGTACTTGAGTACAAAATATAGATACAGAAAAGAAGAAACAGAATGTGGTAGAAACACTACTCAATGCTTTACTTTTATTGCAGGTAGCATCCTCTGAATTGATGTAAAATAGCTGAACACATTCTTCTGAATACGAGCTTCTAAATGGGCATGATATTTGTATACCATTGTGAGAAGAAAAAGTAGTGAATGGTTTTGTATATGGAGTCCAATAATTGCACAAATTTTACGGTATCATGTGCAAATGCTGCAAATTTAAGAAATTAGTGGAGCTACCCAGAAGTTGTACAGTAGTTTATAGCGAGAATATTTGAAAAGACTAAAGTAAATTATGACTTGGTGGAGATTCTGTGTAGTATTTTCCTTAGAAATAGCTCGTATTTTTTCTGTGCAAAATTATAAAAACTTTTAATATGAACAGCTAAGTAAGTTTTCCTTGTTTCAGGTTTTTTTATAAAAGTTTCTTTTTATTATTTTGTACTGGTGTGAAACACATTAACATTTTTTTTCTTTTTTATTTGTCTCTTTTCAAAGCCAGAAGACTTCTGTCAGTATAACTCATTCCTGTATTGGAGAACACCATTGCCTGCTATTGATTTGTCTGATATTCAGAACCCAGATGGTGAGACTCCATCAGAAACTAAAACTCCTCCAAGGACTGATACCATGGAGACTGAAATGGAAACCTGATCAGTTGCTTTGTGGTTGTACATCTACTTGCAGGAAACTTGTTTCCGTTTGGATTCAGGTTTTTTTTTTGCTTGGAAGAAAACTAAGCATGCTTCTGCCTTCTTGAAGAAACAGCATTATGTCAGTCTGCAAAAGGAAGTGTGAGTTGTCTAAGTGGATAGGATAATTACTATTGGGTTTCCGTTTGGATTCAGGTTTTTTTTTTTGCTTGGAAGAAAACTAAGCATGCTTCTGCCTTCTTGAAAAAACAGCATTATGTCAGTCTGCAAAAGGAAGTGTGAGTTGTCTAAGTGGATAGGATAATTACTGTTGGGTACTTAATAGTAAGCTGTCTGGAGGTATATAGTTTAGGCTATGATGTCTGGCAAGAATACTTGAAAACATGGAGGCAGGCTAAAAGAAGACTACAGAAAATTAGGGTTTTGGGATGCAGTTAAAAGAAATAGGTTTGTCACATGCTGAAACGAAGTGGAAGATCATTTTGCCTGTCCTGAACAAAAAGATACAACTGTGGTACCCAAAAGTGAAATATTTATCATGTGAAATAAAGCACACAAACTGTAGTGATTAGTGTAGGGATTTTAAATGTTGTTTTTCTGGTTGCTTTTATTACATGTGTGATAGCTAAACCAAAAAATAAGAGCCTACCAAAACCAGATGGAACATTCCCTTTTCTATGCAAACCAAAACCAAGTGTGGAAGAGAGGGGGAAAAAAAAGGGGATCTTTTCTTCTGTAAGCTGCCACTGTTCTGACAGTTTTTCATATTTTCCTTGTGAAAAAATTTTTTCACCTCCCCGTGTTCTGATTGCCTGAAGCAGAGGGCAGACAGCTTTTAAGTTTTTGGTTCATTCTCAAGTTAATGCTGTTCTTATTCTATATAATGTTAGCTCTGAAGCAGCTGGTAGCATTGAAATGGCAGGTGTGCATGTCAACAAAAGTTAATACAATATAAAATTACAACACAAAACTTTTCAAACTTAACTGACTGTGGTGTAGTTTTTGCAGACTATGGATCTTGCAGAGAATTTTTACAGAAGTTCACTGAATTAGTGGGGTTTTTTTTGCTGTGAAATAATAAATTTAATGTTTGTCTCCTGTAATTTATTTACAAGTTGAATTACATTTAGAAATACTTGTCTTTAATAATAGACTTAAGTTGTATGAGTCAGACTTTGCAAATGTGATTTGTCTTTAAGGATAGAAAACACTGTATTTTTTCTGGAGTTACTGAAGAAGGCAACTTGTGAACTTTATTTTTTTTTAAATAATGTATTTTTAATGATGCTGAAGGAAAATAAAGTTTTGCCTGTGTGTATTTGAAAACTTTGGGAATATTACTGTGCAAAGTTCCTGATTTTATATCTTAAGATTGTTGCTTCCCTAACTTTGTCATTTTTTTAGGTCTTTTTGCTTAAACCAGCTTGTCAGCCTTCTTAGTAAACATTTGGAAACTCTTTTTCATTATTTGTGCTATAAGGTATCTCTGTGTATTCATTGCTTATTTGTTTAGATTGTTAGGGTCTCTTAGTACTCAACGGAAAAAGGAGGTGACGTGTTGACTCAAGCCTTTCATGGTGCTTGTTTGGATATTCTCCTACCTGCTGTCAGGTTAGCTGGATACATAATTAAACATCATTTATTTTTCACACACATTTTTAATTACATTTTTTAGCTCCAAGTACATCAACTTGTCATAGGAGGTACTTTAAGAATGTTTTTTAAAACAAACTCCTTTTCTGGCAAGAATGCAACTCCTATTTCACATTTGCTGTAACTAAAATAAACTAATGAGGAAATAGTTTTGTTAATTCATTGAGGTGTTTGATTTGGTTTTGTTTGGTTGTGTTTTTTTACCCTAGGTAATACATGCATTCTTATATTTGTAAGATTTAAATTTCACACCATTCAGTATTCTCAGGATCCAGTATTTTGCTAGTGTAAGGTGTTCCTGCCCATAGGGATTTGAACTAGGTGATTGTGAAGTCCTTTCCAACCCTAACTATTCTATGATTAGTTAGTATCTTTGCAGACATAACTTAGGTCATTCTCAAATCTTCTCGGAGCTTTATACACAGGAGGTATGTCCTAGCAACAGACTGCATTTTAATGCTGAAATCTGTCTCGAGTATATTCACAGGACAGAAGAGGTTTTATTATTATCTTTGTTCCATAGCAAAATAAATAAGCACTTTCCAACAAATTAAGCTTGCACTGTGTTGTAGGCCATATGCTTACTTTGTTTGCAATTACGCTGTAGGCAAGCACTTTCCTCTTAGCTTGTTCCAGTCATGGGCTCTGGGTTATGTGCTGGAATGTTACAGCTACTTCCAGAGAATTTGCTGAGCTGATTAATTTTTTCCATTTGTCTGTCTGCAAACAGAGGCAAATTTAAAAGCCTTGGAAAACTTTTTGAAATGAGTCTGAGAGTTTGGGTTATTCGAAAGGCTGGGCAAGGTAAGGGGGAGAGATGCTAGATGATATAAAGTGCATTAGAGCTGTCAAAGGGTGTGATTGAGGCATGTCATTGTTCAGTGTCTGGTGTTTCCAGACACCATGTGTCACTGTGGACTGCCAACACACTGGTCGTGACTTCTGACTCCATTTTTCTAGAGGGCTGTTGTTCAAGGGCCGTAACATGAACTGTAAGTAAGCTTAAGATGTTTTGCTTTGCAAGTGTATTCGTACCCACTGAGAAGGAAAAGTTCTTTTGAAATAAAAAAATGTCAACACACATTCTAAGATAAATCAGGAGTAGTATAATACCTACTAACGGACGATCTTCATTTGAATCATAGAATAGTTACGGTTGGAAAGGACCTTAAGATCATATAGTTCCAATCCCCCTGCCATGGGCAGGGACACCTCACGCTAAACCGTATCACCCAAGGCCTCGTCCAACCTGGCCTTGAACACTGCCAGGGATGGAGCATTCATAGCTTTGCTGGGCAACCTGTTCCAGTGCCTCACCACCCTTGCAGTAAAGAACTTCTTCCTTATATCCAATCTAATCTTCCCCTGTTTAAGTTTTAACCGATTACCCCTTGTCCTATCACTACAGTCCATAGTGAAGAGTACCTCTCCAGCATCCTTGTAGGCTCTCTTCAGATACTGGAAGGCTGCCATGAGGTCTCCATGCAGCCTTCTCTTCTCCAGGCTGAACAGCCCCAGCTTTCTCAGCCCAGCCTATCAGATACGTTCTTAAACTTTCAGAAGAAAATTTTTTATATGCTCTGTAGGTAATTGGGAGTTTGCTTTTCCCTAAAACGTTTCCCTCTAAAAGGAAGAACCACTGTCACAAGTGAAGAAAACATGGTGTAACCACAGAGACCATCTAGGTACTTCCCAGTTTGAAAAGGGTGTTGAATCTGGAAGTAGCACCAGTAAGGTTATGGGTGTACTGATGAGAAATGAAATGCTGAAGTTAAAGTATGTTTCAGAGCACATTTAAATAGCATGCCTGCCTGCCTTTTTAAATTTTCTGTCTTGTTCTAAACTTAAACCCTGTTTTACATGGTCTGATTCATGTTTATTGATGGCCTGCACTGTATTTATGATTCCTGAGATAGAAAAACCTCCAGGAGCTTTTTAAAGCTCACTCAGAATCAGGAAAGTGAAGAACTACTATGAAAACCAGGCTGTGTTGGTGACCATATCTTGTGTTAAGTCGACTGTGGCAGGGGGGGTTGGAACTGGATAATCTTAAGGTCCTTTCAAACCCTAACTATTCTATGACTCTGGTAGAAAAAAAAAGAAGGAAGGAAAGGGAGAGGGGAAGATAGGTGACGGTGAATAAATGGCTTAGCAAGTGGGTGCAAGCATAGTTGGCCAGCAGACCAATGACATGAAGTAATAATTTCAGCACAGATCCTTCATGCAGAAAATAGTCTGATGTATGTTGCCACCAAAGATAGTTACTGTCCAGCATTTGGCAGCTAATTATGGTTACAGCATATTCACTGTGGGGAATTCATGTCTCTCTTTTTGTGAAAGCATCTGGTGGCTACAGTAAGTTACATTAGGCTGCACAGGCTTGTTTGGTATAGCAAACTTTATGTTTAAAGCAGCATTTCAAAATAGCTGGTATGCATGGTCTGGCTTAATTATTTCCATGCCTACAGTTACAACCGTGACTCTAGGTGGCAATATACATACACAGTAAACCACAGTGAATCTGGAAAACGTTTTGGGTATGCTTTTATTCTGAACTGGTACTGAAAATTCGACCAGTGACATCATGAATATTAATCATTTCCTTACTGTGACAGATAAATGAAGGCAGATCAAGTCACAAGTTCCCGATTATAAGGTGAACAAGGTGTTCGCCATAACTGGACTAAAAACGTTTTGTCAAGAATTCTTGGTTCCTCTCTTGTTTCTCTCTCCACACACCCCCCAAAAAAACCAAATCTCTCAATTTGTTGGCACTAGTTCTCAGGACTGTTTTCATCAGTTAGAACTGGAAAGCAAACTTTAGCTGATTGTGTGTTGGATGGATAAACTTCAGTTGATGGCTGAAGGCTACTCGGGATGTACTCGTTAAAAATGAGGAAAAAAAAGGTAAGTGCTAATTCATAGGAAACTTAACTCATGAAGTCATATTTAAATGTTGATACAGAGTTAACAGTATATTTGAACTGTATGAGAGAATTTCAAATCAGTTTTTTCAAAGTCATTAAAAGGTTGCTTATTTAAAATTCCTATTTCAAACTTCTTGTATTAGAGAATTTGATACTGATAAAGCAAACTATATTTTAATTACTGGTATTTAATTTGTAAGTGAACTCATTAATAAGTGTTTTAAATGCTCTTGGCCAAAAGAACACCTTCCACCATTCATGACTTCTTAGTGACTTCTAAGGACTTAAAAATCATTTTTGTTCCTTCTCTTAAAGCTCATAACTGTTTCATTACTGAAGGGAAAAGTTTTCTTATTACAGATAAGTTACCATTCCCAGGGAAAAAATTGTGAAAGGAGGATGGAGGCAAAGTCAAATTTTTGTTTGTAAATTTATTTTGCTTTTAAGAATTACTGTGGTGGGTTTTCCTGGTTTTGTTTTGTTTTCTTTTGTAATAGTGAATTTTTGAAAGAAGGGATATGAACTGGCTAAACATTAATTTTTTTTCCACTTTTCTTATATGAATACCCGGGGTTCATGTTTAGATTGGAATAT